TGTCTTCCAGACTAAGCAGACTAGGAAGAAAGGCTACTTTCTACTTCCAAAAATGAGCCAGTGAAAACTCTATGGATTATCACAGAATATTGCCCAATATTCTGCTGGAAGATGAGCTCCTAGGCTGGAAGTCACTCAAAATATATAGTGGCCACAAGAGTGATCATGAAGATGGCACAGGACCTGGCAACATTTCATTCTGTTGTACATGGGGGTTGCCATGAATTGGAGCCCACTTGATGGTAACTAACAACAACAACAAATGCCTTGCCAAGGCCACACCGTTAATACGGGCTGAGCCTGGATTTGAACCCCAAGCCTGTGTGATCCATTGAACAAGATTTTGCTTCCTACTTTAGTTATTAAAGTGGCAGGAGTCCATTCGGAAACACATTATAGGAAATGAAGGTAGATTATCCATAGTCACCCAAGAATTCAAGTGAAAAGGAAGAGTTGTGGGTTGAGGGTGAAGGCGAGGACAGTGGAGAAGTAGAGGTCTACATTAAGCAGCAGGCTGGAGGCAGGGAAGAAAAAAACCAAACCAAACCCTTTGCTGTTGAGTCGATTCTGACTCATAGCGACCCTATAGAACAGAGTAGGACTGCCCTATAGGGTTTCCAGGTAGTGACTGGTGGATTCAAACTGCCAACATTTTGGATAGCAGCCTGAGCTCCTAACCACTGTACCACCAGGGCTCCAGGGAAGGAGACTCATGAAATAGCAACAGTAAGGGACTGCCTGCTGGGCGGCACCTGAGAGGCACAAATACATCACTGGAATAAGGCTGGCTAACTCAGGTTTCCGAAACCCCTTCTTACCTACCTGTATGGAGGCAAATGACTCTCACCCTGACCAAAGTAGGTCAGACCTGGAGTGGAAATTTAAAAACAAACAAGCAAATGAAGCAACCAAAAACAGAAATAAAGATGTAAAGAAACAAAACAAGAACATTTCTTGTTTATGCAGACCTTCGTCTGCTGAGAGTTTCTGTTATATTCACATGCTTTTGCAGTCAGCAAAAAGTTGACAGCTGCAGCCAGTTGAATTTTGAAAACAAAATTAAGAGTGAGTCTTTTTATTATTTAAATTTTAAACTCTTGAATATGCCTCCAAAGAAGTTATCTCCTTTCAGAAGCTACAGGAAAGACCAAAAAGGAAACAAGAACTACAGCAAAGAATGGACTTTTTTTTTAATCAGATATTTTGCTTTTCATTTGTTAGAACATTGATTCTTCTTTGGCCATTAAAAGTAAATAGTAAGGGAAATCTGCTTCTCTATATTATTAACAGAAACTCAATTTTTCCTTGGCCCTACTAAATTTTTATTGAACGGATGTTCAAGGTGCACTCTTTTGAAGTTGTACCAAGCCATGAGCCTGCCTGGGATGCCCCCATGCCTTGGTTGGCCCCACTTTCACATACAAATTCAAGCCAGCACCCCAAGGGGGTCCCTCTGGCTGGGAGGACAGAGGTGAGGGAAGGAACGGTCAGGACAGGCCATGCTGGGATCTAGGCAGCAGACAAGGCTACTCCAAGAGGGTCTGTGCTGAGACGGGGTTTCACTGAATCCTGTAACTTCTAGAGCAACTCAGGTGTGCCCAGGTAGCCCTGCCTGGATGGCTCATCTAACTGGGCTCTTAGTGCTCCGCCTTCTCCCCAGCAAGAGAAGCCCTCAGAGGTTGAGCTTGCTGGCCAGGAGAGATGACCATTTCCTTGTCCAGCTGCACATCTGGTTATGCAGCAGTGGTGGTCTTTGAGCAGGGATAGAAGAGAAGTGGCAAAAGGGCAAGACAGAGCAAGGGGGCAGTAATGGGGCCGTCAGGGCTCCCACACCTTGGATGCTGCAGAAGGCGGGTGGTTTGGCCAACTGGCCAGTGTCCCACCTTCATGCTAAGTGACAATCCCAGGAGCACAAACTGTGGAGACAATGCTGAGAGTGTGAGCAGAGGGAGGTTGGCAGAGGTTGCACCCAAGTGAATTCCTCCTTCAGGAAGCTGTGCGGTAAGACTGCCCCGTGAGAGCCAGCATCTCTCCACTGACCTTTCAGGGAAGCAGCCCTACCTGGAGAAGCACCACAGCCGCTGCAAACTACTCAGGGACACATGTCCTTTTCCAAATCCTTCTTCCTGAGTAAAATTTTTCCTCAGCTGAACTGTGGCTTAGTGGTGGGAGAAGAGAGGGATTGATCACTATATTGGATGTGAAATTGATGTTTGCAACTGGACTGGACTTTTTTTGGTTACTGAAAGTGACTGGAATGTTCTGAAATCTGCCCCAAATGTCAGTAAGTGTTAGGAAAGAGTGTTGTTGAAGGGAGCGATTAGAAAAAATAAAACCATTTTACGATTGAAAGTATATTGCGTTCAGACAGGTCACTACACTGGTTATCTGTAACCTGTGGAAAAGGTCATGGCTCCGTCGGTGGAATTAGAGGTGGAGCTGGGAGGGCTGGGAATACCTCAGCAGCAAACACAGAGCCAAAACCCAGTGGTCAGATCCCTGGGCGAGAGAGTCAGGAGGAACAAGGGTGAGGGGAAGAGAGTGAAGACACAACTGAGGGGAGGAGCCAGTTAGCAGGATAGCAGCTTAAACACGGCAGAGTCGGTGCGCAAATGCACAGGCACACCCAGAGTGAGAAATGACAGAACGCGACAGCCAGGGGCAGGACCTGGGCGCCGACGAAGGGCATCAAAAATACAGCACGTGCATGGGCTTTGCCCCTGAATTTCTTTTGAAACCCCAGAACCCAACCCCTACAGATTCATCTCCAAGGCACAACCTTTCAATTTTAGTAGCTGATAGCAATAATAGCAAACGATAGCAGCCAATGATTATTACACGATTACTATTTCATCTCATTTAACCTTCACACCAACTATATGAGATAGGGATTACCATTCCCATTTTACTGATGAAAAACTGTGGCCTGGAGAGTGGGGCACAGGTAAATTTCCACCAAAAGTGCCCCCACCCCAACCCTGCCCTGCTCTGTAGTCGAGTTGTTGCTGAGAAGTGGCTGCTTGGCCAGGAGCTGCATTTCCCAGCTCTCTGGGCATCTAAATGTGCCTGAGAATTCTGAGGCCCTGGGGAATTGTGGAGATGGAGGGAGACTGGGTCCCCAAATTACTGTGTAGAGGCTGCAGTCCTCTACCCAGAGCACTTGGATTGGAATGAGAACAGAAGTGAAAAGTTAACTTCTATTATGCTAAGCTACTGAGATTTTAAGGTGTATATGTTACAGCAACTAACATTATCCCCAACTCACACTGAGAACAGATGTAACTTAGCCAAGGGCACAGAGCCAGTAAGTGAAAGGACGGGGAGATAAGTTCAGATCTGCCTAACTCCAGAGCAGAACCCAGACTACCCAGACGCACTGCCTTTCAATGTAGGTGCCATCTATGACTACCCTCATTCTGCGCATACAGCCTCTGTGTCTGTCCTTGCACCTAATACTAGTATGACAGCGTAGGTGCTGGCTTAACCATGGAATGGATAGAGGCTAATTCTCTTGAGTCCTTGGCATCTCCACTAGGATCAAAATCCTAGCTGCACACCTGACATCAAACCCCCAGCCACGTGCTCCCTGGAGCACATGGCTCTAGGGACCAAACATGAGGTCCTGTCAGGTGTGATCAGCAGACAATCAGATCAGAGGACGGGGTCCTGATAGAAGAGCACTAGTCCACTAAATCTGCCATGCTAACTCAAAGGACTTTTGATTTGAAAATACAAGTGGGTGAAGAAATAGCTACATTATTAGACTCCAACCTTCAACTGAGCATGGGAACATTCTGGAGGGCTTCAGAGTTTGCTGTTTGATGTGGAATTAGCAGACCGATAGCAGTGGCAATGGCAACTGACCTTGACTGAGGGCTTGCCATGTGTTTGCACTGCCTTGTCTCATTTAATCTTCACAATAAGCTTATGAGTTAGGGGCTACTGTTGAGTCCATTTTGTAAGCAAGAAACTGGGTTTTACAGGGGATAAATAACATGCTCAGGGGCACACGAGTGGAAAGCAACAGATCCAGGAGTCAGCTGAAGTCTGTCTGACTCCAGAACGTGCACTCTTAATCACTGGCCTCCAGGTATTTTGGATTGTACACCCCTAAAAAAAAAAAAACTGAGCAAATCTAAAAATAAATCCTATAAATGTGCTAGTGTCACTATGTGCACTATGTACTATTGTTAGTTGCTGTTGAGTTGGCTCTGATCATGGCAACCTCATATACAACAGAAGGAAATGTTGCCTGGTCCTATGCCATCTTCATGATCTTTGTATACTGGAGTCTATTGTTGCCAGTCAATGTGTATTTCGAGTGTCTTCCAACCTAGGGGCTTATCTTCTGGCACTATATCGAACAATATTCTATTGTGATCTGGAGGATTTTCATTGGCTGAGTTTTGGAAGTAGATCACCAGGTCTTTCTTCCTATTCTGTCTTAATCTGGAAGCTCTTCTGAAACCTGTCCACTATGGGTAACCCTGCTAGTATTTGAAATACCAGGGTTATAGCTTCCAGCATCACATCAACACGAAAAACTGACAGACGGGTGGTGGACATTATATATTAGTAAAGCTTAATTCATTTTATACATGTTAAGGTAGAAAAAAGAAGAACTTGTGGCTCGGTGGTTAAGGGCTTAGCTGTTAGTTGAAAGATCTGAGGTTCAAACCTAACAGCCACTCTGCAGGAGAAAGACCTGGCAGTCTGCTTCGTAAGGATTACAGCCTTGGAAACCCTATGGGCAGCTCTATTCTGTCTTATAGGGTCGTTATGAATCAGAATCGACTTGACAACAGGTTTGGGTTTTTTTTTTGTTGTTGTTGTTAAGGCAGAAAAATGAGTAAATGTCTAGGATTTCTTCCCTCACTTTGGGGATTGTCTTAAGTATCCTTGGTGTGGGCACCTTCCCCTTTGAAGTCACCGTCCAAATGCCTCCAGATACCGGACCCCAGTCTGCTTTATGCTTTAATGACTAGAGTCCTTTTCTCCAGATGCGCAGCCCTGCTCCAGAGAGGACTCTGAGGACATGTGGGGAGGCAGGAAAGCCCTGTCCTACATTTTGTCGACAGTGTCTGTTTCATCGTCAGTAAATGACTGCGCGATTCTGGAGATTCGCACTTTCAAAGTCCTGGTGAGTCTTAGATTTCTACAGAAAAGTCATGTTTTTTCTGCAGAAATATCAAGGATGGTGAAAGTGGTGGGCTCTGTGTCCCCAGTAGAGGCCTGGGGTCTGGCGAAGCATGGGACTTCGGAGCTCCAGTTAGCACGTTGGCAGCTCAGTTTGCCATTGACAGAATGGGGAACCAGGTACATGTTCCTCAGGGTAATAAAATACCCCAATAATCCTGCTTCCATTAAGTCAAAAACCTGCATTTTGTCCAGTGTGGCACTGAGTCGGCCTTCGTGGAGATGAGCCAGCGCCATCTGGACCTTCTCGGTGTGCAGAGCCTCTTCCGAGAGAGCATTAGGATGCTGGCGAGGCAGGCGGTCCACAGTGGCCCAGCAAGTCTTGGAGGACGTCATTCATAAAATATTGAAGCCCTGAGGATGCAAAGCACAGACCAAATGGCAATGCCAGGCTCTGTGTAGGGAGGGTGCAATGGAACAGAATCTTCCATTTATCTCTGACTTGTCGGGCACAGGCCGGACACTGCCTGGGGCCTCGCCGGTGTGGACCCAAGCCACGGGAGCTGATCTAATGGTTCTGAAATGAACAGACGTCAACACTGATTGTAGATGGTGATTTTCTTAAGGGGTCCATAGTGTTTTAAAAGCATAGTTTCATATCTCTTTGTAACAGATATACTGGGGTCTCAGCCAAGAAAAGGATGGAGATAAATCTTTGTCCTAAGCTGTTTTCTGTGAACTCAGAAAGAGCACTGGCACGAAAAAAGACTCTACTTCCTACCATGCCCAGGATTTCAGGCTAATAGAACAATCCTCTGGGAAAGGTAGGATGCTGGGTGGAAAGAGTAATGGGAAGGAAAGGGGGACATGATGTGACATTAGATTTACGAAGCAACATGCCCTAAAATGTGATAATTGCAGTGAGAGGCTGGCTGTCTTTCCTCTGTAGAATGATGCCAGGGACAGCCAGGACTAGTGCGGGCTCTGCTGAGAGTGTGTCTATAGTGAAAGGGCCTGAGAGAAGGGATTCACTTTCTTAGCTAGGTGTTCCTCTCTTCTGGCTGGTCCCCTTTTTATAGTACCTGCCACACCACTTTTCTGCAAGTCCTCTGCAGCCCCAGCTGGATGGACAGAAGGAGAAAGGAGCCTGCCTCCAGACCACAGTTGACTGGACCCAGGCTAGACACTGTACCCCACCCCCCACCGCCCCCACAAGATGGGCCAATCAAATCCTCTTTGTTGGAATTTGGAATTAGGACCAAAGGACTTTTATAATTTCCCTCTTGGGTCTTGAAATATGAAGTAATTTGACACCAAGGCTGAAGCAGCCAGGTTTGGTCCAATCACAAACAGAAATCAGCATGCTGTTTGCAGGGAGAGAAGTATAAAGAAGATGGGAGTGGAGACAGAGATGAGCTAAGCAGCCCTGGAGAAGTTGGATTAGAAACCTCTGTTCTTGAAACTCCAGATGCTGGTTCTGGTCCCTTCTGGGCCCTGCTGTGAATCCTGCCTATGAGCTGCCCTTGTAGCCATCCAAAAAGTCCCCTTGGACCTTAGCTAGTGGGACTGGAGCTCTAGTTCTTGTGCCAAGTTCTATGCCCTTGAGTCCTGTGAGCTATCCTTGTAGCTTTCCAACAAGTCCCCTTTGACCTTAGCTAGTGGGAATAGAGCTTTAGTTCTTGTAGCAAGTGATCCTGAACTGAGACAGAAGGTTAACCTTTGTAATTCCAGAGTCCTGCCAACATAGCTCAGGGATTCTGAGGCCCCAAGGTGATATCTAGCTTTCTCCTACCTTCCCTTAGCACAGATTAATCGAGTACCCCACGTGCCAACACTGAGATCAGTGCTGGAGACACAGGATCGGCACACACACATACACACACATGTTAATGCACACACATGCTTTCTCTCAATGCTCCTTTAAGTTTCTAAAGAATGAGAA